AAAAAAAAAAAAGGAAAGTTCATCACAACAGAGATTAATTTAAATCTGAGAAAGGACAATAATATGTATATTTGTATTTGTTTTTTGTTTTTGTGGCTGGCTCTTATGGGGATTTGAACCCTTGACCTTGGTCTTATAACTTCGTGCTCTAACCAACTGAGCTAAACAGCCAGCCCCAAGGACAATAATATAGATGACGCAGGAGGAACTGATTAAAAAAAACAAAACAAAACCTAAGTATAAACTACTAAAAAATGGTTATGTTTACTATTACCACACACAGTAACAGTTAAGAACAATAATTAAGGATTTTTGTTTGGGTTACTCACGAGGAACACAGGATCCAAATTTGTCAGGAAATTCTGAGATCAGGTCATCATTTATCCTGTCTTTCATAGGTCCCAATATGATTACTGGTCGAGTATAATTAACTATAAAGAAAAACTGCATGTTAAAAGGAATAAACACTTTACAAACATCAATGTATTTTATTTTATCAGAGAACAAAAACATCCTTAACTGTTATGAAGAAATCTCCACTCCACTCTACCATCAACCAAGGATGCCTAACTTGCTATTTTATAAACCTTTACTAAGATCTTAAACTTGACTCAATCTTCTGCTAGAAATCATACACTTGATAATCCAACCAAGTTAAATTTGACATTTTAGCAGATAATGTTTGTATACATTGCTAACATCATGTCATCACAAATGAGAAAACAAAATATAGTGTTTTACTGATGGTTTTTGGAGCAGAAATTGTAAGGAAGTACAGCAAAGAAGAGCAAAAAAGAAATCAGATGTAGGAAGTAATATAATCATAGGAGTATTCTAGAAAGATGATCTAACAGAAGTGTATACATTGGGTTGTAAGGGATCATGGTGGAAGAAAAGAGACCGGTAGTGAGAATCAGAACTAATATTCTGGTAGGAGGGATGAAAAGGAGATCATAAATAAGAAAGATATGACATCGGTAGAATAAATACGGCATAGAACCTGACTGGATGAGGAGGATGAAGAACAAAAAAAGATAAGATGATGCTTCCAAGGTTTTCAAAAGGGTTATTGGGATGATAGTGATGTTATAATAAACACTGGAAAAAAGTTGCTTAGAAAATAAAACACCAATATACTCATAAAATTGCAATATAAATGACTAGATTCTAATACTTGTATATTGAAGGCTAAACCATGTTTCATAAAATATACATTTTCCCTCATATATACATATAGTAAAAAACATATAGAAAACTTCTAATACAACATTTTTTTTGAGGTATGAGTTAGACCTATTTTCCAAATTAGGAAGTATATTCTTCTGGAAGATTGTAAAACATCAACAGGTTTCACAAACCTTCTTGTTGGTTCACTGGTTCATAAGACAAGACATATTCTTCTTGACCACCTATTAGAAAGTTAAAGTACAGATGAGAAAATCTGTAAAGACGGTTAATGTTAATTTAATTTTTCATACATAACATAAAAATAACTAGGACTTTCCTGAGAAAATGGCAAAGATGTAGAAATAGGTAATTTACTTCGTAAATTACTTATGGATTTCGTAAAAACAAATGGCAAATTATAAAGTTATAAGGACATGTCTGATAAATGTAAAACAAAATATAAATGGGCAATTTATTTAATAACTATATTATTCTGTGTTTATTATACAGATTATCATCAAATCTCCTTAAAATCTTCAGTTGTGATGTTGAGTGTATGCTATTAATTTTTTACTTAGAATCAAAAAACTACTACATCTTTCAAAGATTAATACTTTAATGAGTAGTTTTACATATATACATATTAGGTAATTTGCTGCAAAAATGTGCTATTTTTTTGGTCCAACCAAGTAAAATATTTAACAGACTGTATTTTATTTTTTAAGTAATTACAACTATCTTACAATAAAAATTATAAACACAAAGGTAAAGTTATTGTCATTTCATTGATAAAAATATTCACTGATTATTCTAATTCATTAACTTAACTTTTAAAAAATAACATTAAAAGTGAGTTAAAGAGAGCTTTACATAAAACTAAATCCTTCCCACAAAATGAATTATGGTGACAGTAAAAGATAAAATATATTTTGCTCTGATTCTTTTTTTATTCAAATCCTTGATCTTGGTGTTATAATATGGAGCTCTAACCAACTGAGTTAATCAGCCAGCCCCAATGCTTTGATCTTAAAAGCACTTAAGTTAAAGCCCTGAAGGTTAAATTGAAAGGTGTAGAGCTTAGAAAATATTCTAAATTAAAAAGTCTGCAAATTATATCTGAACCCAATAAAAAGAACCAAAAAGAGTTAGAAATTCCAAGAGTTCTTAACACACACACAGAGAGAAAGAGAGACAGAGAGAGAGAGAGAGAGAGAGAGAACAAACTAGAAAAGATTGTTAATCCAAGTGGTTCAATGAAAGCAATCAATATCGGAAATGTATCTGAAGATTTTCTCGATTATCAAGATTCTATAACAAGTATATCACTAATTTTGTCATCAGTTTATATTATATGTATGCAGTTGCAGGTCTTTCAAATTCATATATTGACATATTCTTCCCTGCTTTGAAAGTGTATTTCTTTGTTTTAAATTTTATTATCATAGTATATAAAACAGATATTTTACAAACTTTTTAAAAAGTACTGGATGTAAAACATGGTTTACATACTAGCAAAATCATGCAATTTGAATATTCCACACCATAACAATTCATGCAAATGGTGAGAGAGACAATATATACTTTCATCACCTTGTTTTAGTCTACAAAGCCATTCAGCTACTCTATAGTGGGTTCTGATTATAAGTTAATAAAATGTTAAAATACAAGAAATCACATTCCCACACCAAAAAAAAAAAAAAAAAAAAAAAATCTTTAAGTAACTATATGTAGAAAAAAATTACCAACCGAATGAATAAATGAATGAGTATTAAAAGTATATATTGTCAACATGAAAATATTAGGAACTAATATTAACAGGATGGACCTTTTGAGCAACCATACTCATCTGTAATCAAGATTACTTTCATATTAGACAGCAGTAAAGAAAAAAAGTTAGAAAAACGATTTTAATTTTTAAGGTGCTACGGTGCTACACTGATAATATTCATGTACTCTCCCCTTCTCCCATGCCCCAATCTGTTTAAAAACTTCACATGCATGTACAGTTCATTTAATCCCAAGAATGTAGTATAAAACACCAAAAAAAAAAAAAAAAATCTATTACTTTTTAAGCAATCATGGAAAAATTTTCCTTCATTTCTTATGTTTGCCAAGAGCTGGTAATAAACAATGACTTGTCCCAGACCAGTATTGGTGACAGAATAAGAAAGGAAATCAAGCTAATTATAATTTAGCATTACTGAAAAATATTATTTTAGCATTCATGTTAAAAACAGAATTACTAAACAAAATGTCAAAATATAAGTTTACCCACATTTAAATAAATATTTATTTCTTATAAAATATATACACACACACATACCGTGTACACAAACAACACTGTAAAAAGTATTTAGTATTTTATTAAGACTTTGGAAATTAACCTCTGTATGTACAGTATAATCTTATTTTTCACGTACATGATTTTACTTGGCTCTCCCTGATTTTAGCAGTCCATCGCCTTAACCACTCGGTCACCTCGTCCCACTCTCCCTGATTTTAAAATACTGTTATCTAATTTTCAGTTTTTAGAATATATCACTAAGAAATAGTCCTGCCACCCAAGGATGTATATTACTTGAGATTACAAAAAAACAAGTAATTTAAACACTTACGGTAACTACTTTCACTATCGCTGGCATTAGAAGTTACATGCTCTGTAATTGCAGACAATGAAAACAATAAAGAAAACAGTGTCATGAGTTTAAAAGCTGATAAAAGCAAATTACCAAAATAAAAACAGGGTGACATTACAAAATGTTGAGATATAAACAACACACAACCAACAAATTTTTAAAAAGAATTTCTGATTTTCTTTGAAAAGTTTAACTTTTTCAAATAAACATGAATTAGCATGCGAAACACCTGTAATTAAGGACAATGTCTAATTTTTGTATAACACAGTTTATGAATAAAATCTATATTACGAATAGCAAGTAGAATATGACAGAGGGCAAAGTAATCCTAAATTATTCCATTTGTAGACATAAAACTCAAAAAGAGAAACCGTAGTTGGCATCATTTAATTGATAAAATAGTAATGAGTGGCTAAGGAGACAAGTTGTATTTGAGCAAATAGATGACCATTTTAATGAAGGAATATCTTTGTAATTCAAAAGTGAATAGATGATCTTATATTTAGCCCAGCTTCTCTTTTGTTCCTGAAAAGCAATGAAAATCCATGTTTCAGAGAACATACAGATGAAGCATTTTAAATGCCATAAATTCAGATGTCTCAAAAAAAGCCAAATGGAAGGGAATCCTAGAGGGTGGCATGTATTTTAAAAAAGACTAATATCCAGTTTTAGGATTTTACTGTTATTTTTGTCTCCCTCAAAATTTTCTGAATAAAATCTTGATCTGATGATCATCAAGCTACCAGGTGAATACATCTTTCAATTCCTGTGAATTAAAGCACATAAGACCTATTGATTCAAGGGATCTTAAGTCACTGTCCAGAAAAATCAAGTCTTTTCTAAATGACACTGTCTGATAATCAGTTACCATTTTTATATTGTTTTTCTTTCCCAGTCCCTATCTTCAACTACAGTCAAAGATAAAAGCTCAGGGTGTAATTATCATTTATCATAGCAATATCAATACAGGAAACAGATTCCTCATTTAGTTCCTTTTCCTGAGTTTTCTATAGGTCTCTGTTGACCCAACAGATAATAAAAATCTGTGGATCCTTTTCCTGATCCCTACCATCTCAAAAATATGTTGTCATGGGGCCGGCCCGGTGGCGCACTGCTACAGTGCGCCGCTTGGGAGCGTGGCGGTGCTCCCGCCGAGGGTTCGGATCCCACATACAGACTGGCCGCTCACTGGCTGAGCGAGGTGCGGGCGCAACACCGAGGGTTGCGATCCCGTTGCCGGTCACGAAAAAAGACAAAAAGGAAAAAAAAAATATGTTGTCAATCTCAAAATAAATTCTAATAATAATAGCATTAATAATCTGTGGTAATATTTTCCAGTTTTGAAGGTTTTCATTGATAGTTTTTCCCAAATGTAAGATTTGAAAAAGGGTACCACTAGTAATAGGAAATCTGTGGCCCTTACCAAATCCTAAAAAGACACATGTGAAAATAAAGTGTATCTAACAGAAATAATTACACATACAGCATACTGTCTTAAATCTAATACAAACCTAAATCATTAAGGTTGAAATAAAAGTCAAGTACCTATAGTTTAGATTAAAATTCCAGTATAAAGTTAGCAGAAATCAGGAAACAAATTTCTGTGAAATTTATTGTTTATTAATGTAAAATGTAGATC